TTTTTTTTTTTTATTTTTCTTTTTTTATATTTATACATAACAATTTTTAAAGATTTGGGATGATTATTATTATGATTTATTATGATATTGTCTAATCCTAAAAATAGTGATGACGTTTAAAACTAATTTATAATGTTTTATTTTTTTAAAAAAAAAAAAAAAAGTTTTATAAAAATATTTTTGATTTAGTTTTGTGTACTGTCAAAAAATTAATAATTGAACTAGAATTTTGAGCTGTGTGTGTGTGTGTGTGTGTATGTGTGTGTATGTATGTAATTTTTATGAATATGTATATATATGTTTATTAAAAATAAATGATTATATATTAAGAGAATCTGTCATTAATCATATGATCTATTTATAAAAAACCACAATAATAATGAATTTCTACACGAGAAATAGTAATATATATGTGTACATGTGAGTGTACAGGTGCTTTATACTTTTAATTACTTTGTGTATGAATAAATCTTTGGTGTTTGTTGTGTGCTGTGGTCGTTTTGATTTTATAAATAAATGAAAAAATAAAAGGAAAAGGAAAGGAAAAAAGAGATGGTAACAATTTGTTTTTATTCTTGGATATTAAAGAAAATTGAATTTTTTTTTTGTTGTTTTGATATATCCAATATAGAATAACTAATTATAATAACAAAAAATAAAAATAAAAATAAAAATAAAAATAGAACAAAAACAATTATTTCACATAAAACGATTATGATTGAACAAAAACATACTGTATTTCTATTAATTAATCGAAAAAATATATATGTATTTCGGATCTGTTTTTTTTATTTTTTTTTTTTATTTTTTTTTTTGAGATTTCATAAAAAAGTTATTCTTTTAAAATTTTATAAAAAATAAAAAAAAATGAAATTTGCAAATTTTGTGATAACTGAAAAAAAAAATATTTTATTATGAGAAAAAACAATTAATTAAATATCATGAAATTTAGATATATAATTAAAGTTTAATTAACAAATACTATTTTATTATAATTATTTTATTTATTGTGGTTATATAAAAAATGCATTTAATAAAGTACTTACATATTTTACTATTAAACTTTATATATCTAAGTTTTATTAATATTATTATTATTTACAAGGAAATGTGATGTGTGAGAACGCTAGTTTTTGTGATAATTTTTATATACAATGTTATTGGTAGTTTTAATATATCAAATATTTAAGATAAATAGAAAAAAAGAAAATAAATAAAACAAAAACAAAAAAAAAAAAAGAATATTATATATTGTTATTTGAATAGGGCGGATAATGGGTGATTTTATGAAAAAATTATTTATATAATTGATATATGTGAATATTTATGTTGAGGTTAATTATGATTGTTTTTAAAATAAATGTATTATGATATACTTTATCAATATCACCATTAATCTAACAGAGATATCTTTCAAAAAAATGAGAAAAAAAAAATGAAAAAAAAAAAAATTGGCAGAGTTGAGGGTTTATTAAAAAAAAAAAATAGAAAAAAAATATATAAATAATTTAAAAAAAAAAAAAATTTAAAATTTTTTGTATACAAAAAAAAAAAAAAAAGTTTAATTTTAATTTTTTTTTAATTTTTTTTAATATTTTAAAAAAAAAAAAATAAATATATTTTAATTTTCTTTTTTTTTCAATTTTTTTTTTTTTCAATAAAATTTAATTTAAATAGTAATTGCTTGGGATTGGATCTCGTTTCGGGACACCCTTGATCCATTATCTAAAATTACAAAAAATTGATCTATTAGAAGAAAAAAATCAAAATCATCAATCATAAATTTTTTTTTTATTTTCATTTATTTTTTAATCTTTTTTTTTTACGTTCCTCAAAAAAAGTGATTGTGTGCTTGTTTCTAATTTTAAATAAATGCATTTCAAAAGAAAATATAAATATAAAAATAAATATAAAAATAAAAACACTCAATATTACACCCCCACTTTCACACACATTAAGATTTCAACAACAACAACAAGCACCACACAGCACACAACAATAACAATAAAAAAACTTCAAAAATAACGCACTTAAGAAAAAACTAACTGCAACCATCACACGCATTTAATTAAATCATAAGAATTGGTTTTTTATTTTTTATATTTTCAAATTTTATATTGTTTCATTTATTTTTTTGTTAGGCATTTTATTTTTAGTTTATTTGGGTCAACATGATAATATTTTAAACTTTTAATCCACTCACACTGTTGTTCTGTTTAATTCAATATAAAACTACCCATACTACCTCCTTGCCTTTACTCTTTCAAAGATATACAAATTATTGGCCCACCAATAAGAAACTTTTATTTCTTTTGTGTGTGGGTTGTTTTATGTGTTTTAGAAAAAAAAACTAAAAATAATTGATTTTTAATATAATAAATTGGATCTTGGATCATTGTTTAAAATAATCCTCTTCAATCTATCCACATTCCTCACTACTTTATAAATATATTGTTTTAAAATTATTGATCAAGTATAAAATTACTAAAATTATGATACGATAAAAAAAAAAAAAAAAAAAACTGCAGGTTAAAATGTTTATTTTGGGAAAATTTAGATAGTTTGTAGCAATACAATAAAAAAAAAAAAACAATAACTATATTTTTAGCAAACACTTAAAATATATTTGAATTGTTTTTTAATTAACAACAAACAATATCCCACTCTTTCACCCAAATATAATACCCCACACAACAATGTACCCCACCTCAAAGATAGATACTTTTTTCCCTCTTTTTCTCTTATTATCTCTTTCTAATAATTAAATATTTTATATACATATATATACATGTAATACATTATTATGACATTTAAAAATAATAAAAAATAAAATAAAATTAAATAAATCAATAAATTGTATATATGTAGGGAAACAATGAAAATGAGGATATAATAGTGCTATTATGGCATTTTTAAATATTATTGCTGTAAATAATTTTTTATTTTCTTATTTTTTTTAATTGTTTTTTATTTTGATATATCATAATTTTTTATAAACTCTTTTTCTAAAATTACATTCTAAAAAAAAATTTTCAAAAAATAATATTAATAATAAAAAATAAATTAAAAATCTTGAAACTAAAAAAAAAAACATTAAATCCATTTTTTTAATTAAATTTAAAAAAGAAAAAAAAAATTTAAATCAATAAAAAAAAACTTATCACATTAAAAATAATATTTTCATTACCACAAAGATAATTCATTTAGATAAAACAAAATAATAAAAAATTTAATAGCAATAATAAAATAAATAGGTAATATTAAAAGAGTGTAACTTATATAAATATATAAAAAATTTTATTCCTTTCTTTTTTTTTTTTAATAATATACACATCATAAAATATACTCCTCTCACTCCTATTTACCACACCATAGAAATTTTTATTTAAATAATAAATCAATAAAAGGAAAAATATTTTCAATTATTTTTTTAATTATTTTTTTTTTCTTTTTTTTTTTTTTTTGTGTTTTATTATAATTTTATATTTTATATTTATTTTTTATTTAAACACTCACATACACACACTCACAAAAGACATTTATTTAGAGACCAAAAAAAAAAATAATAAATTTTAAAAAAAAATAAAAAATAAAAAATAAAAAATAAAAAATAATAATACTACACACACAAATTTTATTATTAATAATAATTATTAAAATTTTTTATTTTATTTATTTAACATATTTTAGACATTAAATATTTAAAAACACTACCACCTGTCATTTTTTTTATTAATATATTTTTATAAAACTAATTTCCTAAAAAATAATAGGGATAACATGTAAATAAAAACAAATTAAAGGTTTAAACATTTCAACTTATTAAAAAAAAAAGATGGATATAACTCCAACATTTTCTCCAAACATAAGACCAATCATACATCATCACCAAACAGTACCACCTTTTACTATACCACCACCTGATCAATCAAATTCTCTCTCTCCTCTATCTTCTCCCTCCTTGCTATCACTACATCAATTTCAACTTAATCAACAACTACTATTACAACAAACAAACAATAATATAAACAATGTAGTCGATATAAATAATAATAATAACAATAATAATAACAATAATAATAATAATAATAATAATAATAATAATAATAATAATAATAATAACAATATAAACCCTGTAAATACGAATAACAACAATGCTAATTTTCAAAGAGTTTTAAATAATAACGAAAATGTAAATAATTTTAACACAGTAAATACAAATGTATCACCATCAACAAATACAACTCCTAACAGTGTTGGACATTTAAGAGTTGATATACCAAATAATAATAATGCGGCAGTTGATAATAATATCAATAATAATAATTTTAATAATAATAACAATAATGCAACACCAAATATAGAGCTAACAACACCAAACTCATTAAGCGTACCAACTACACCGATGGTTGCCCCCCAGATGCCATTTTCTCAACCACCACCCTTACTAAGCTCAATGAATACTCCTATAAATAACTCAACTTCAAACCCATCAACCCCAAGAAATGATAGAGATTTATTAAGAAGACTAGCTGTAACAAATAGCAACAGTAACAACATTTTGTCGCCAAATACATTTAGTTTAAATAGTAATAGCAACAACAGTACGTCTCCAACTCTACAACCATTGAATATAAATAGTGTATGTTTTATTTATAACTTTAAAAAAAAAAAAAATAAAAAAAAAAAAGGAATATTAATATTTTTTTTAAATATATAGAACTCATCACCCACTACCACAACCACTACCACTACCACCACTACAAATTCAAATCTCAACAACTTATCAATTGAAATGGATGAACAAGTTGTTCCAAAACAATCATCTCCACTTATAACTTCTTCAAAAAAAAGGATAAAATTAAATGTATAAAAAAAAAAAATATATAAATATAAATATAAATATAAATACAAATATAAATAAAATAGTTAATAATAAACAACAGGTAAATCTATCTCATTTTGTCTCTTTTTTTTTAAAAAAAAAATTAAATATATAATCATCAAGTATACTATATTTAGATTTCTTTATTAATCACCAAAATTTAAAAAAAAAAAATAAAAAAACACTCAAAATACAATATTGTGTGAGTCAAAAAATTTCCTCTTTTTAAATTAAAAAAACACACAACACACCAACAAATAAATAAATATGATAAAAAATAATTAAAATAATATTTTTTTTAAATTATTTTTTTTTTTAAATAATTTTTATTTTTTTTTTTTTTTTTTACCTATCTGAAGTAACAAATTTAATTTCATTTTTTTTTTTTTTAAAGTTAAAAAAAAAACTAAATTCATATAACAATTAATTTTTTAATTATATATAAAACAAAGCTATAATAAAAAAAATGTTTATTCTTTCTATTGTTTGTTCAATTTTCTCTGCAGCTTTTGTTGTACTTTTATCAAATGTCACCTTAACAATTTTAAAAACATTACAACAAGCCATAATACCAGTAAGTAAATTTTCTATTATTAATCAGGGATTAAATTATTAATTTTAATTTTTTTTTTTTTTTTTTTTTTTTTTCATAATCATCAAATTAGTTTATTAAATCACAAAATCTTCCAGTTTCAGAATTAGTCCTTTCGTTCGTTAATGATTTAATTTCATTCAAAGATTATAACTTATCCCACGTCTTATTACTTTCAGTTGTAATTTCGGTACTTGCTTTAAAAAGAGAACTTTGTGGTAGTTGCGGAACCCCTTCAAATAGTGCCCAATCAGGTAGTAGAAAAGTCAAATAGACAACTTAATTTTCATTATTTCTTTAAAATAGTTAAAAAAAAAAATTAAATACACCAAATGGTATTATTCAAATAAATTAATAAAAATTGGAAATTAAATAAAAAAAAATAAAAAATATTAATATGAAGAGATAAAAAAAGTAAAAAGCCATGTATTTAAATTTTTATGGCGGTTAATTTGTGTGTTAAAAATTATTTGAACATATTTTTAATTTTTTAAATCTTTTTAAATAGATAATATGGGGGTAAAAGAGAAACAGATAGTGAAAAAGAGAAAAAGAGAAAAAGAAAAAAATAAAAGCAATGAAACTATTAGTGTTCTCCATGAAGATGATGAGCACCAAAAAAATCTATAGAAGTTTGTAAAAACCTTTGACCCTGAATAGAACGGAATGTATTGTGGAAAATAATAAAACATTATACTATCTTTATATATTTTATCCAAAGGGAAATAATATCTCTTTTTATATTTTGTTCATAAAAAAAAATAAAGAAAATTACTTTTATTTTAAAAAAAAATTATTTTTTTTTTTTTATTTTTTTTGATTTTCATTTTTTTTTTTTTTTTGATTTTTAATTTTTTTATATTTTTTTTAGTTTTTTATTTGTTTATTAACAGTAATAATGTCAACCTCCAAAAAAGAAATTAAAAAAACAACAAATACATCAAAGGATGAACCTAAAAACGAGGTAAAACAAAGAAAAAAAGAAGACTCTTCTACAACCACTACAACTACTACAACCACTACAACTTCCACAAATGATGAAATTAAAAGTGTAGACAAACTTAAATTAAACTACCCAATTTTTCATTGTTCATCTTCAAGCGTATCCAAAGAACCATATATCGCATGTGGTGGTGGTGGTGGTAAATCAAAAACAGGTGTACCAAATGCAATTACATTATTAAAATGGAGTGAAAAAGAAAACAGTTCAGAGTTTATAAATATTGACCAAATGGAAACTGAGGATTGTATCCCATATATCGCATTTAACGACAGCAAAAACCAACTAGCCTATTTTATTGGCTCACACATCTATATTGTATCATATAAAAACAATCGTTTGGAAAAGGTCAGCGACTTTGATTCAAATCAAAATATACCCGAAACAGCCTTCAACACCGCAGGCAATTCAGGAAGCGTCTCACCTTCATCAACACCAACTGTTTCATCACAACCAACAAAAAACACACCATCAACATTAGAAAGAATTAGATTCAATAAAAAAGGTGACCGTCTCATAACTATCGATAATAACAATTTAATTTGTGTTTGGAGCGTTCCATCATGCGAGTTTGTAAGATTAATTATTTCAGGACATCAAGGTGAAATTACAGACATTGATATTCATCCAGCATCATCTCATATTGTTACCACCTCACGTGATTGCTCTGCCAAAATTATCAATTTAATGAATGGTAGAGTCGAATTTACTCTTCAATACAAACCAAAACCAAAATTAGCTTTTAGAGGCTGTAGATTCTCACACGATGGTCTTTATATTTACACTGCCCAATCATTACCACGTACTAAACAGACTACTGGTTGCACTGTACTCACCAAATGGAATTTCACAAACGGAAATGAAGAATTCTCAAGAGAAGTCGATACTTTCCACAACACCACATTCGACCTCTCTCCAGATAGTAAAACTATAGCAATCAGTAACGGCAATAGCCATATCCTTGCATTTAACTCTGAATCATTCAAACAATTAGATAAATGGGAGCCTCACGAATTTGTAATTACTGGTGCCTGTTTTTCACCAGATAGCTCAACCATATTCTCTTGTTCAGCCGACTATACTTGTAAATCACATAGAATCGGGTCCTATTCAACCAATAACTCTAAATGTTTGTATTTTTATTATTATTATTATTATATATATAATATTGATAATTTCTTTTATTAACAATTTATTAAATATTTTATTATAGATTTTAAGGTATTATTTATTTTAGCAATTTTTATTTTAATAATTTCTGCAATAATAGGAAAATTAAATCAATTAGAATAAAATATAATAGTATTTAAAAAATAAAATAAAAAAATAATTATAAACAACCCTTTTTAATTAAAAGGGGTATTTATATCAATAAAGAACTTTGATGGGTGTTATTTAATTTTAAATTTAACCTTTTAATTTTTTATTTTTATTTTTTAATCAAATTAAAATAAAATATTTTATTTTTTTTTTTAATCAAATTTCTTAATTATTTTTTTGAAAGATTTTTTTTAAATTAGTTTGTATATTAGATGTGTATATTTGAATTTCAAAAAACTGATTATAATAAGAATCGTGTCTCTTAATATTAAACTTTATATGAACACATTTGTTTAATTTTTACAAAATAATTTGTGGCTTACAATAATTTATATTATTGAATCACTTTTCAATTTTAATACTATTTTATATGTAGCATAGATATATATGTATGAAATTATCAAAATAAAAACATATTGGTGAATATTTTACTTTTTTTTTAAAAAAAATTATTATTGAAAAAAAAAAATATCAATGATAGTATATGCCACACTCAAACATATAAAAAATGTAATATTTCTAAATAAATTTAAATATAAAATTGTGTGTTTGTTTGTTTGCTTTTTTGTTTGTTTACTTGTGTGTGTATGTGTGTGTATGTGTGTGTATGTGTGTGTGTGTGTGTTAGTTAGATTGAGGTTAGTGTGGTGATTCAAAATCTTTATTAATTTGTTTTTTATTTTATTTTTTTTTTTTTGATTTATATTTATTTTATTTATTTTTCAATTAAAAAAAACAATAATAAAATAATTATACAATCATATGTTCATTTGATTTTATTTTAAAACTCTTATATAATAAACCTTTCTATTACTATATAACAAATTAATTTTTTATATTGTTTATATATTTCCGTGTTAATAGTGTAGAAGAATAGTTTATGTTTAATTTTTAATATAACTATATTTTCGGCTTTATCAAAAAGAAGTTTTATTTAATGGTAAAATATAGATTTAATTTGTAAAATAAATAAAAAAAATAAAAATTTAAGTGTTGTTATGTTCAAATATTAGTTTGTATTTTGGTTCCAAAAGTTTTTTTTCCTTTTCCCAAACAAAAAAAGAATGAAATACTCATTTTGGGCTTTATGTTAAAAAAAATTTGGGATTTAATACTATTGTTATTATTATTTTCATTATTTTTATTTTCATTTTCAATTATAATAATAATTAAAAAAAAAAAAAAAGTTTTATAGTTTTTTTAATCATAAATTATCATAAAATATTTTTTTAAAATTTTTTTTAAATTTTATTAAAAAAAATATATTTTTTTTGTTTTGTTCAAATAATTACACTATTGTTATTTGGTATGTACAATTTATTATTGTATTATTTAGAGCAATCACAAAAAAATCTCCAATAACTACCTAAACATCCAGTGATATAATGGGAATGCATTCATTCACTTTTACAACAATGTATGTATTTATTATTATTTTTATTATTTTTATTATTGTTATTTATTTTAATATCAATTTATTTTTTAAAGTTTGTATAGTTTTTTCCACTTTTTTCCACTTTTTTTTCACCCATTTTTTCCAATACCCATTTTTTGTGTGAGGAAGTTGCCAAAACCCATCATTCATATAGAAAAAAAAAAAATTTCTTTGATCAATAAGTTTTTGTTTTTTTTTTTCGTACTTTTCCTTGTTATTTACGGTTAACACACTTTCCTTTATAAATCTTTTATGCTCTCAATGAAAAGTGTTGTGTTATTTTGCAAATTCAAAAAAAAAAATACAAAACTTTGCAAATTTCTATCACCATTATTTTTTTTTTCATTTTTTTTTTTTTGGTGCAGATATTTATAATGATCATGCGACCACACCCATTTTTATTTTTTTAAAAAATCAAATAAAAATACCTTTTTTTTTTTTCTTTTTTTTTAAAAATAAAATTTTATTTTCGTATTGTTTTGTTTTTTTTTTTTTTTTTTTACATTACATTGTATATTTCATTTTATATTTAATTATAAATATATATCATTTATTTTTTTTAAATGATTCAGTTTGATCAATAAAAAATAAAAAAATTAAAAAAAAAAATTT